GACTCATGGTAACTGTTAGCTGTACTCACTGTTCTCTCTTGTACACAGCAGGGAAATTCACTAAAGAAACGTTCCTTGGGCCGGGCAGTGGTGACCCACGCCTTTAATCCCAGCACTCGGGAAGCAGAGGCAGGTAGATCTCTGAGTTCAAGACCAGTCTGGTCAACAGAGCCAATTCTAGGACAGCCTCCAAAGCCACAAAGAAACCCTGCCTCAACCCCCCCCCCAAAAGAAATGGTATTTGGGGAAAATGTAAAGAATAGTCACTATGTCTCTGAAAAAAATATTTAGGGGCTTCTAGTGTTCTACTATGACAACTCTGTTGATGTGTATGCTTTTAGTGTTTATAATAGACACTTTCACCAAAAAAGCATGATTCCAAGACTGTTGTTGGCCATATAAAATTATGAACCAGTGACCATACAAGGTAAATAAAGATAGGCAATAGTCATAAACTAATGTGAAACTGATATTCTTGTTTCCACTTAAAACACTAGCACACTAATCACTACAGAACAAAGCATGCCAGGTGGTGATGGCAGTGCATGCATTTGATCCCATTACTTAGGAGGCAGAAGGATGTGTATCTCTTGTGAGTTCAAGGCCAGCCTGGTCTACAGAGCTAGTTCCAGGACAGTCAGGGCTACACACAAGAAACCCAGCCTTGAAGCACCCAAAACAAACAAACAGATAGATAGATAAATAAATAATATCACTATATCTATCTATGTCACAATTTAATAGTTAACTCTGTGTGTCAGCACCCAGGACAGTTCCTGGCACACAACAGAAGATTAGTAAATATTTGCTGAATTAACGAGAGACAGAGGAGGAGTAAAGAAAAATAAGCAATAAGACAGGTGTGACATGTGCCTATGATTCTATCATTTGGAGACTGAGAAATGAGAACTGAGTTTGAGGCCAAACTAGACAGTGAGTTTAAAATAGCCTGACTACAATAGCAAGATAGTGCCTTTAAAAACAGGTAGTAATAGTGTTGGTTAAAAGAGGTCAGCAGGTAAAAAGTACATTTGGTGACCTGACTTCAAGCCCAGGAACCCACAAAAAAGTGGACTCTTTAAAGCTGTGCTCTGACCTCCACAAATGTGTTGTGCCATGTGTCCACATACACACACATATGTGTGTGACTAATTTTTAAAAATTTAAAAATAATACAGCAAGCAATAATGGAGAGAACACATTTCCATAACTTAGGAATTATCTATGATTTACCTACTGCCTGCTTTATCTCTTTTTGGCAGGAAAAAAGAAAAATCTGCAGTTCCCAACTCTGGAATATATAGTCTCTGAATATAAGCATCTCTTCAGAAATGATACCCAGAAAACACAGTTCTAGAGACTTTCCTCATGAGGAATACCATGCTCCAAGAGGCCGTCCCTTCCCTAGGTCCACCATAAAGCATCTTTGTTTTCCATTTGCAAATGCTCTTGATATCCTGTAAATGTATTTAGCCATCACATTTGTATATAAAACAACTCTTAACATTTGCTCCATAATTTCAACTCCAAACCTCTCCTCTCAAGAAATCTTGTCATTTCAAGTCCTCAACTACGCATTCCACTCTTTGTGTCAGTGATTCAATTTCCAAGGCAATACAAAGAAAACCTAAAATCACTTGCTTTCCTCTAAATATTTGTCTTCCCACCCCACCCCACCCCCACCTAGCATGAGCAGGATCTAGCCTGAGCTCAGATATAACAGCACACTGATTCTTAGCTTCAATCAAACTTGCAAATCTGATGGCCCTTTTACAGTTCCACTGTTCCTTCCACTAATTCTTTTCTTTTCACAAGCAAACACAGTCTTCTCCAGTCTTTAATAAAAATGGTTTTAAGCTGGGCATGGTAGTGCACACCTTTAATCCCAACAATCTAAGGTAGAGGCAGGTGGATCTCTGAGTTTAAGGCCAGCCTGGTCTACAGAGCGAGTTCCAGGACAGCCAGGACTACATAGAGAGACCCTGTTTTAAGAAACAAAAAGAGTTGAATGGTGTTGGCACATGCCTTTAGTCCCAGTGCTTGGGGAGCAAAGGCAGGTTGCTCACTGGGTTCTACACAGCCTGGTCTGCACAGTGAGTTCCAAAACAGAGCGTACACACAGAAAACCTGTCTTGAAAAACAAAAACAAAAACGAGAGGGGGAGGGGGAAGGGGAGAGGGATGAGGGAAGAGGGAGAAAGAGACAGAAGAAACAAAACCTATCAAAAACTTTTAAAGCATTTTAAAAGTTTTACAACTTTTGTTACAGGAATTTTTATATGTGTATAAAGTAAATGTGAATGAACCTCTACACAGCCATCCTCAAGCTCCAACAGCTGTCCACAGTCTACCTCAACTCACCTCTCACCATATTTAATGACTTTTTGGGGGGTTGTTTTGTTTTTGTTTTTGTTTTGTTTTGAGACAGGGTTTCTCTGTGTTACCTTGGCTGTCTTAGAACTCACTATGTAGACCAAGCTGGCTTCAAACTCTAGAGATCTGCCTGCTTCTGATTCCCAAGTGCTGGGATTAAAGGCATGCACCACCACTGCCTAGCTTCAATAACTATAACTTTACAATTTTATTGGATAAAATTGATCTCTATCATATTTGTAATTTTTATTATCATTGTAAATTACACCACTCTATCAAACACAGAGCATCTCCATCATTTCTTGTAGGTTTCTCTTGTCTTTTTCCTTTAATATGTCTTTTATTATTGTTTTAATAGATGAGTTCTGCTAGGCTGTCCTCAAAAGTTCTGGACTCAAGTAATCAGACTCTCAGACTCTTCAGTGCTAGGATTACAGGCTGAGACTACAGGCATCTTCCACAGTAATGTGCCCTATCACTATTTTTGTTTGTCTTCTGAGACAAAGTCTTGGTATGTAGCTGAGATTAACAAGAAACTTCTACGCAGTTCAGGTTGGTGTCAAACTCACAATCCTACCTCAGCCTCTTAAGTGCTGGGATTACAGGTGTAAACCACCATACTAGCTTGTATTACTTCTTTAAAAAAAACATCCAGGACTGGAGATGTAGCTCAATTTGTAGGGTGCCTGCCTAGCATGAAGGAAGCTCTGGGTTTTATTTCCAGTACCACAGAAACCAAATGTGCCTACAATCCCAGCACATAAAAAAAAGGTTTGTAGACGAGAGAATCATGGCTCTCCAGCAGTCTCCAGGTAATTAGACTGACCTTTCAAATATTCGTGGTAGATTAGTCCTGCTAGAGGGGACAATTTATAAGGCTGCCCTGTTCAGAGAATCGGTCCACATGCAGCCTTTGAGGAGCAGTTTCTACACCCTTTTCTAATCTGCTATCACACCGGGCCACCTGGGCATCTGATAGTTCCTGGAACAGGCTGGGGGCATCTGCATTCCTTTCTTCTGTCTAGAACACTGCTCTCCTCACTTTTCATGTAGCTGGCCTCCTGTCTCAGAGGCCTTCCTCAATAGCCAAAGCTCCTATCCTAGTCCCCTTTAATCTATGCTTTATTTTCCATTTTTTACAGTACTTGCAGTAGTTATAATTACTATCTTTGTATTTATTTACCTCTCTTTAGAAAGTGGCCATCTTGAGAATAACCACTCTCTGCTATATCACCTTTTAACAAATGACTAAAAATTATTTATTGAGGGGCAGGAGAGGTGGCTCAGTGGTTAAGAGCACTCACTACTCTTGCAGAGAACTCAAGATTGGTTCCTAGCACTCACATGGTGGTTCACAACCAGGTCCAGTTCCGGTTCCAGGAGGCCTTACACCCTCTTCTGACCTGCTTAAATACCAGGCACACGAGGGGTGCACATACACGCATGCAGGCAAAACATTAAAAGTATAATTATTAAAAAAAGAAATAGAAACTAGGTAGTGGTGGGTTACACCTTTAATCTCAGCATTTGGGAGACAGAGGTGGGCAGATCTCTGTGAATTTGAGGCCAGTCTGGTCTACAGAGAGAGTTCTAGGATAGCCAGAGCTACACAGAGAAACCCTTTCTCAAAAAAACCAAACCAAAACAACAAAATAAATAGATTTAGCTCAAACCACATTTTACAGAAAATGTTCTACTTATCCTCAGAACCTGCTTTCTATTCACAGATATTCACAAATTAAGTTAACATAGTACTGTGACAAAGTCCTAAATTAACAAAAACATCATTACAAATATAAGACTTTATATAAAAAAAGCAAGACAGGGAGATAAATTTTTTAATTGAAAAGACTGTGGAAGATGGAATTAAAATCCAATTTCTTTTTTTGTTAAAGGAAAGGGTTTGCTATGTAGGCCTGCAGGGCTTGTTGTTTACTTGATAGCCCAGGCACTCCTCCTGTATCAGCATCCTAAATAGATTACAAGCATGTGTCGATATGCCCAGCTTTGTTCTCTTATTTTTAGCTAGCTGATTTTGAACTCCTTAAATAACTAAAAACCAAGAAAGTCAATCTTTCCTTCCATCGCACAAAACAGAACTTGCCTCCTATATTTCTGGTTTGTTTCAAATTTCACAAGTATATACAACTTTCATAACAAAATTTACAATACAATACTAGTATTCTAAGAATGAATCACAACCATCACCCAACCTCATGTAGGAGGCTAAGTTTTTAGGATCACAAATTCAAGGCTTGTCTAGACTGCCAAGTAAGTCCAAGGCAAGCCTAGACTGCCTCAAAATAAAACTGTAAAAAGGAATAGGAATATAGCTCAGAGGCAGAGTACTTGCCTAACATCATTCAGGCCTTGAGTTTAGTCCATAGAAGCCCCCCCCCCATACACAGAGCATGCACGAATGCACGCAGTCAATCAACCAATCAATCAATCAATTCGGTAAAATGTTTTTAAATTGTCATGCAGCATAATAAAGACATATACTAAGAAGAAAGAGTTCATCAATCTAATATCTAAATTCACCAGCAACAAACACCCACTGAGTCCAGCCACTGCCACTAACTGTTTAATTTCTACTCCAGCTGTTCTTCTGTTGAGTGATGTACTGACCTTGGAACAGCTTTCTTCCTCTACTTCTCCCTCATTGGTTTGCATGGGAACAGACTCTGTGCAAAACTCTGCAGAAACAGACACTGCCTGGAAGGGAAAAAGAGAAAAACACATGTAAAGACTTCAACGTAACAGTTTGCTTTTTCAGCCAGGCGTTGGTGGCGCACACCTTTAATCCCAGCACTCAGGAGGCAGAAATAGGCGAATCTCTGTGAGTTTGAGGCCAGCCTAGTATACAGAGCGAATTCTAGGACAGCCTCCAAAACAATACAGAGAAACCCTGTCTTGAAAAAAAATTTGCTTTTTCAAATATTTAGATGGAAATCTGTCATGGAGATCCTGGATGATGTGAAGCAATGACTTTAATCAAGGGTACTTCTCAGTATGAACATATGCATGGTGAGATATCCTCTTTGAGGAGAGGTTGAGTGGAGATCTTCCATCTTGAAGGACAGTTGGAAAAGGTTCAAGACATGGGTTATTAATAGCTTTATATTTCTTGACCTATTTGTTTGGCTTCTGGTAAAGGTGATATAGAAATCTTCAATGACTCTTAAAATAGACACCTGCCAGAAAGGATGCCAATGAGCTGGGTTTCCCTTCCTGAGTATTATGCTACTGAAACTGGCTGTCTTTCTTGGGTTATAGCTATGTTGAGCATCCTAGGCTTTTCTAATGGATGTACTCTAGCAGTCAGTGTACCTTCTAAAGGAAATATGCCTAAGAAGCTAAATGTCAGGCTCATTTATTTTTACACAAATTGGCTATCTAAAAATACAATAAAAGTCATTTGTTTCTTACAAATACAATAAAAGTAGTCTATAAGTTTCCTCTAATAGTAAGAGCTAAGGCTAGAGACATGGACTGTCATGAATGTGCTGGGAGCAGAACCTGGGTCCCTGTAAGAGCAATAAGTACTCTTCACTGCTGAGTCATTGCTCAAGCCCTCAAAACTAACTTTTAAAGTTTCCTTTTGACACTTTCTATTTTTGCAATTTTCTCAAAACTGTCATTCACCTTAGCTACATTTTTCTTAATTTATTTGTTTGACACAGGGTTTCTCTGTGTAACAGCCCTAACTATCTTAGAACTAGCTGTGTAGACCAGGCTAACCTTGAACTCACAAAGATCCGCCCACCTCTGCTATGACATATGCCACCGCTGCTCACTGCTTAGTCTTTTTTTTTAAACCCAGAGTTCCCATATGAAAGAATATATGCAACATTTATCTTAAAATCTGGCTTATATTTTAATGGATACAAATATGTTATTATTAAGAAATAATTAGTCAAACCAACCAAAAGGAGCCACTGTGACTGACCATTACAACAGATCTAAGTGACCACTACACTGACCACAACAGTGACCACTACAACCGACAATTACAACACTACAATTGATCAACACAGTGAATACAGCAATGACCAATATAGTTGACCACATCAATGATCACCACACTGAGTACTACAACTAGCCACCACAGTAAGCACTAAGATGACCATCACAGTGAAAAATGTGAGTAATCGCAGTGATGACAGTGGCTACAGCTGACCATACCAATGATCACCACAGTGATCACTGTGACTGCTGGCCATTACAGGAAACGCTATAACTGACCACCACAGTTACCATCATGGCTGACCATAACAGTGAATACCACAGTGACCACTATGACTGACCCCAGAGTGAACACTACAACTGACCACCACAGTGCCTATGGCAGTGACCAATTACAGCTGACCACATCAATGACCATCAGTGTCCACTATGACTAACCATCAGCAGTGGACACTATCACTGACTACTACACTGACCACCACAGTGAACACTACAATTGACCAGCAAAATACCCATGACTCTTATTTTATGACTGACTATCACAGTGGACACAACTGATCAGCACAGTGACCACTAAATAACAGCTAAAAAGATGCTCATAATGCAAGTTTCTGTGCAGAGAAAGTCTTTGGGAATGTACTCAGCCCTTGATATCTACTCTGGTGCAGGCCTCTCTATAGCCAAGTCATAAGACCTGACGCCAAGAAGGGACTTCTACATTTCAACATTGGTTATGTGGCAAAGAGGCATCAAAATTCTACTGTGCTCACCAATTAAATTTTTAAGGAACAAATGTATATTTATGTAATGAGAAATGCAAAACTGGCATAGTAGTAGCTATCACTCAACCTCTATTCACTCAGGCCCAGATGAACTGTCTGTGCTCACAAGTGAAATAAGCTTCCTAGAGTTGATCATGTCCTTCATTTTTTATGGCAGTTATGCATAAATACAATTGTTCTTTCTATGAAAATTAAGTTTGTGGAGCTGAGGATTCAGCTCAGTTGGTACAATGCTTGCCTAGCATTTTTGAGGCCGAGTTTGATCCTAGTACTCTATAAAATTAGATGTAGTGTGCATACCTATAAAACGTAAGCACTTCAAAGACTGAGCAGGAGGATGCTTTAAATTTGAAGTCAAACTGAGAGACAGGGAAAGGCCCTGCCTCAAAAGCAAAAGAGAAGGGAGGAGGAAGAGAAGAAAAAGTTGGCAACCCTGGAAAATTTTAACAACCTATCCAGAAAGATGTGGCATGCACAGTGCTTCACAACTGTCTCCCTCTCGGTTAAAGTGAAGATCACAGTCATAAACCATGTACCATCAGCATAACTCAGACAGTGCTCGGGTTTCCAGGCCTCTGTGGCTCACAGATCATGCTGTTTTCTCCCCAACAGCCTATAGACCCCAGCTTCCTCAGCAAGGGGCTCTATCTTTGGCCTTTCTTTTACAAAATGTACAACATGTATGGGTATTTTGCTTCCATATGCCAATGCAACATGTGTGTGTCTGGTCTATCAAATTCCCTAGAATTAGAATTATAGATGGTTATGAGCTGCCATGTGGGTGCTGAGAATTGAACCCTGGTCCTCTGAAAAGAGAAGCAAATATTCTTAACTGCTGAGCTATCTCTCCAGCCCCATCTAGGAGGTATTAGCTTCACCTGCCCCGCCACACACACACAGGGTTTCTGTATGTAACTTTGACGGCCCCAGAAATCCCTCTGTAGACCAGGCTGGCTTCCAACTCAAGAGATCTGCCCACCACTGCCTCCCTAGTGCTGAGATTAAAGGTGGGTGCCGCCACTGAGCTCTTCACCTCTTTTTTAAAAGATTATTTTATCTTGCTTTGTGTATAAATATTTTTTCCTGAATGTATGTATATGCACCACATGAGTAACTGTTGTAGTCCCTGGAAATGGGCTTATGGATAGTTATGAGCCACTATGTAGGTCCCCTGCAGTGCTCTTAACCACTGAGCCATCTCCTTAGCCCCTCCCTGGACCCTCTTATCTGCTGGCCACTGACTAGGCTCATGTGATGCTCACTGACAGTAGACAGGGAGACTGGCAGTGACTGAGCAGCTGTTCTATTACAGACTACTCGTTCTTATCAGGTAAACTTCAGCTACAGCTTTACTACCTTAACCCTTTGGATCTGCCTACTTGTTTTTTTTTTTTTAATATCTTGTTCTGGCTTGACTTGCTTGACTCTATCAGTTCCCTACTCTGTCAGTCACTGCTCTTCCCTGTTGGAGGAAGTCCTGTTATTTGTCAATAAAGTACTGTTGAGCCTATAGGAATCTAGATAGGTGGGGCTAGGAGTCCAGGAGGATTCTGGGAAGGAGAAACACAAGAGAGTTCGAGATGTAACGCCATTGGGGTAGGAAGCCCGGAAACCTCTCCGGTAAGAGACATACTTAGATTAACAATTATGGGGTAATTACTTAAGTCAGAGCTAGCCAGTAAGAAACAAGCAAGGCCAACAGCTTCATAATTCATATAGCCTCCTGTGTGTTTATTTGGGACTGATACGGCTCTAGAACCAGGCTGGCGGGAAAGCGGCTCTAGAACCAGGCTGGCGGGAAAGCGGCTCTAGAACCAGGCTGGCGGAACGGCTCCTTCTCAAGGAAAAAGCTTCACTTAACACTTCCCCTTCAATTATTCCTCTTCCCCATCCCCAGAAACACACACTCATCTGTCTTCCACCCTTCCTACTACCCTCTACCCTCAAGGCTTTAACCCTAATGCCCCTATACTCACTTCTCAATCCATTATCTCTTTACAAGCTCTTGCCCATTCATCACAGCCCAACTGGGTCTGGTTTGTTCTGTTCCAGCCCTCAGTTTTCTAACTTGTTAGAATAGAAATGGCTAATGCAGACTAACAAAGAATACTGAACTATCCAGAAGCTGGCAGCAGCCGACAACCTTACTGTTACTAAGCACAAAAGGGGCAAGAGTAAGTGACAAACATGCAGAGATAGCTGTGCATATAACCACAGACTCAAACACTAATGCTCATTTATGTGTGACCTTGAGAAAACGACTACTTGTCTCAGGCTTGATGACCCTAAGGAAACTTGGGAAGAATCATTTTTCTGAGAATTAGTGGCAATACATTTCTACTTGGTACATGGCATTGATGGCCATTCAGGAAGGCCCTGTATCTGAATTCCCACTTTCCCACAGACTCACGTTCTCAGTTACCTCTTGGCCCTTTCGCTGTGACTGCACCTGGAGAGGAAGCCTTCCTCATCTTTCTGTCCCACTTCACTTCTATACCTGCCCCAGAACAGGTATAGAAGCTTGCCTGAGAGCTCTGAAAGACAAGATATGTGGCCCTTATCCTTTTTCTTCAAGTAGCAACTGCCCAGGAAGCAGACATTTTCCTTGGTTCCTCATAAATGTGAGACACCTTCACAATTTCCCACAGAAGGCAAAGTCAACTGAGTTTTGTTTTGTTTTTTAACTATGTAGTTGAGGCTGGTCTTGAACTCCTGATCCTCTTGCCTTCATCTCCCCAAAGTGCTGGGACTATAGGCATACACCAACACACCTACCAAGTCTGTTGAGCTCTGTGGTTTAGTACTGAGAAACTCTCTACTCCACATATAGGTTTAGTAACAGAAGTGTCATTATGCCCATTGAATGGCATATTTTATCTTGTTTTCTACCAGGAGAAGGACAGTGCCATTTCTGTGTCTCAACAACCCTAGCCTCTGGTGTATTGAACTGAAATTTATTTTCATTTT